TAAAATTGTTTACATAACATATATATGTTATTATTCTCTAATAATTTAATGTTTGCAATTTACCTCCGATTTATGAGTAATTGAAATTTTTGAATTTGTGCCGGATGGTGGTTAATTCATGAATTTTGATGATAAGGTTGTTAAAATCAAAGAAATGATTATAGAAGCACGAGAGATATATGTTGATACTGAACTTCATGAGAGGTATAATCCTCGTAGTGAGAACATAAATACATGCACCACAATAAACCGAACACCACACAATTAGCTCTGTAACTATCAATAAAAATCATATTTATTTAAAACTTTTCTTCTCTCTACAACGTTACATACTAACAAGTTTCTATTCATTGTGTGAGGGCTAAGGCCTTCCTAAGGCTCAAGTGGATATCCCGACTTGACGATTTACTCTATTGGCTTATCAATTTCTCACGGGCTGGGGAAAAACCATCCCTTAGGGTTTAGTTCCTTTTAATTTGCTAAACTTTTATTTGTTTAAAGTATTTTGAATATGTGCATTTATTGTAAGTTTCTATAGTTTTGAAAAGTTCTTTAGATTTTTTTATTTGTTAAAATAATAAGTAGTATATCTATAAATTCTCTAAAAAGAAAATATTAGTAGAAAACGAGAATTATATCATAACATTTTATATTTTTACTGTAGTAACCATACCGTGAATGAGTAATAATTTTTACTAAAAATCAAAAGGAATAAAACTTTCTTTTTCTTAGAGATATGTTGATACAAAACTTCATGAGAAGTATAATCGCGGTGTGAACACAAATACATGCACCATAATAAACCGAACACCCCACAATTAAATAGGCAACTATCACTAAAATCATATTTATTTAAATCTCTTTCGGCATTGTTACATACAAAGAGGAGGAGGAGGAATTGAAATTTTTGTTTTCAAAACCGTCCTTTTAAATTACAAGTTGTTAAGTTCTGAATTTACGCCATTTCAGTGAAATGTTTTTTTAAACCGCATTCACGTTCTAACGTATAGAATGTGGATTTTAATCTTTCCCAATCAGCGGTAAAATTCACACCAAACCATTCATTATCTATGTATATAGCTAAATCGATCTATCCAAAAAGCATTAATATTTTTTGGTATCTTTGCAGTAACTTGTAACTTGAATCTCTTCTCTAATCATATCATCATCTTCTTCTTCTCCAATAACATGAGGCTTATCATAGAATTTTGAATCATGATCTCGTACTGCTCGTTCACTTAAACTCGCCAGCGTTTACTCACTTTTTTCGGTGTTACTTATTTTGGAATTGTCGCAAACGTTTTAGAGTGTTTTTTAGAGTGTCTCAAAAAAATCAAAAACATTCAAGTAAAGGATATACAATGCAACATAAGAATATTCTTTTAATATATTTGTGTACATAATAGATATACAATTTCAAACTATTGAACAAAATAAAACGTAAATAAAAAAAATTGTTATCATATATAAGTGATCAATTATCAACATATATTATAATTTATTTAATAATAAAAACATTTTAAAATTAAGAAACTGAATTTAATATTCAATCCAAAAAGCAAAATTTTATTTTGAAAAATATTATAGTTAATAATATTTAAATACAAACTTAAACAATTCCAAATCATCAGAGAGACTATTATTTTAAATATTATTACTTATAAACCAAAAATTCTAAAAATCGGCAGAAATAGAAAGACTATTATTTTTTATACAACTTAGAAATATAAAGTCTTACACAAGTCCAATGAACAACACCACATATATAGGAAGTTTGTATGGCAACCCATTGAAACGATGATTTTCTCTTTGGCGGAGGGATGAATGGTTGGTCGTGCCCACTTTGTTGACAGATCTTTGTGTATCTCAGAGGTGTGTGCATTGTGTAGCTAGATGCTGGTGATCAATTCTACATCAGTAAATTGGTCGAATGAAAAATAAAAAATTGTGTATGAACCTATCATATTTCGTTGTGAAGGGAAAAAATGTCATCTTACCGCAACCATAGAAGGGGAGTATTACCTCTATAAAACTGATAACTATACATTTAGAGTTTTTTGAATTTATGTGGGTTGAAAAGATAATAACCAATTAGAGTTTTTTTATAATACCAAAATGACTATTGTATTTACATCATTCCCAAAATTGTATATCTTATTAATTCTTTCAATCTTTATATTCGCGGGGAGATTTAACAAACATAAACTGACTATGTTTTTTTAGAATTAGTTTCCAAAATATATTTAAATTATATATTTGTAACAAATGAGTGCGATTAAAGATACATGGTACGAACTATCTTATATAATTTGATTTATGTATTTTTAAAAAATAAATGGATAAAAAAACATTATGTTTTAATTTGTTAATAATATAATAATGAATTACCTCCCCGCACATGCGCGCGGGTAACACCTAATACCTTCATTAAACACAAAAGCAAAGATAAATAATATCGAAGGATGACACATCAAAAATACTAAACGCAAAGCAAAAACAAATGAAATACAACTTCCATTTTTTCGATAGATCACGGTCTTAAGATGATGCAAGGATGAATTATGTCTCCAATACGAAAAGCAGCATGAGCATTTGAGACAGCAAGCTTGATTAAATCCTCTGTGAAATCACCATGGCCAAACCAAATATCGGTGATACAATGAGCTGGTGGTATATACATACTCCTAAGCACATTATTCACCGAGCGAATCAGTTTACGCGACTCAGAAGGTCCAGCCTCGAGTGTATTCTTGCATACAAACCCATACTTTTGCCTTAGACTAGCCATTGCATCCTTTATTCCAAACCCTACAAAGGTAAAACTCGGCAAGCTGAGGAAGTTGTAGAGAGATGTTGGTAAACTATTTTCGTAGAAGTAAGCCTGACTATAAGGCACCGGCTATCATCGCAGAGCTGGAGGGCAAAGATTGTTGAGGTTTTTCTTCCTTCTGTTGTTTCTAATGGAATTGATATCGTGTCCAAGCCGATCAATCTTTTATAGTTCTTGGAGTTTGACATGAGAGCTTGTATGCCTTCATCGACCTCTTTTTTGTTTATAGCTATTGTTGTTTTGATGTTGGACATTATTTCCCTTTTAGAATATGTGAGGAATATCACCTATAGTTTGAGCTAGATAAGAAACAATAATTATCTAGAATAGAACACTACTCTTGCCTCTCAACTTCCACTACAATCGAATAGGTTACAAAGCTAACCAA